ACAGGGGGGGGATATAGAAATAATTATTTATCACCCCCCAGGTGGCAGCCGACCCCGCAGTGCCCATCTCCAGGGCCTGCGCCGCTGGAGCAGCGAGGGCAGCGCGGCGCCGCCATCTACATCTCGGACGCGATCGCTGCCCTCGGCCACGAGCCGCCAGAGCCCCCGCAGCAGTGGAGGCCACAAACGCCACGGCAGCAACCAACAGACGAGGAGTGGCGCAGGGATGAGTGGTGGCGCACCAAGGAGGGCGAGGAGCGCGAGTGGCAACAGCCGAGCGGCGAGGCTTCCTCGCTGCAGGACCGCATGGTCGACTCCGCCTGGCGCGACATGCAAGTTGCATTCGGCAGCGACCAACGCCCCAGTGACTGGTGGAGCAGCCACAGTGGGTGGAGTAGCGGCCAGGGGCACTGGGAGGTCGCGACCACGACTTGGAGGTGGGTCGAACCCCCCCCCGAAACCAATCCCTGGGAAAAGCTTAGTTGAACCATCGCACAGGAGCCGCCCCTCCGCAGCAGCGGAGGGAGGCCTCATCGGCCGAACGTCGACCCTCCGCAGCAGCGGAGGCCTTGCCAATGCATCGTGAGCGGCGGCGACTCGCGCGCGCCGTCGTGCTCGGCGACCGCTGCCCGAGCGGAGAAGGAAAAAGAATCGGTGCTTTCATCGGTGCTGTCGTTGCCTCCTCTCCTTCATCGTTTTCTTCTCCCTCCCCCTCCAATCCCCCATCCCGCTATCACATTTTATCGTCTCCAATCGTATCGGGAGCTCCCGTGGCAGAAGAGCACCCAGAACGAGGTCCTCCGTGACAGAGGGGGGGGCATCTCAGACCCCCTCTGTGACAGAGGGGGGGCATCTCAGACCCCCTCTGTGACAGAGGGGGGGCCAAAAAACAAATGATCACTTTAATGCGGCTTCTGGATTAGTGCCCCCACCACTGTCGCACCTCACTGTCCCCACCACTGTCCCCACCACTGTCCCCACCACGATCCCACTCCACCCACTGTCCCAACTGTCCCCACCACTGTCCCACTGTCCCCCCTGTTCCACCACTGTCCCACTGTCCCACTGTCCCCACCGCTGTCCCACTGTGCTGCCCCACTGTCCACGCTGTCCCCACCACTGTCCCACTGTCCCCACCACTCTCCCCACTGTACCACTGTCCCACCACCGTTCTAATTGCCGCCCTCACCATTGTTCCCACCACCAGTCCCCACCACTGTCTCACTGTTGTCCCTACCACCAACGTCCCCACCACTGTCCAAGTGTCCCCATTGTCCCCACTACTGTCCCACTGTTCCCAGTCCCCACCACTGTCCCCACTGTCCCCGCCAGTGCCCCCACCACTGTCGCACTGCCCCCATTGTTCTCACCTCTGTCCCCACGATCCTCACCATCGTCCCAACCACTGTCCCCGCCCAAATCCCCCATCCAGAGTGGAAATGGAGGGGGAGTCGTTGAGGCGAGGGGGGAGGGGGGAGGGGGGAGGTTCGAACTGGTAGTGACCCACCCCGGTTTTCCAGGAGGGGGGGGGGGAGGGGTTCGAACCAGTAGTGTCCCCCCCTTTGGATGATGGACCGGGGGGGGAGGGGGTCGAACCCCCAGTGACCCCCCCTGGTTTTCCGCCAGCAACGGTAGAACACGCTCTTTCAATTGTGAGGTAGTCTCAAGCGACACGGATGCCGCAATGGCTGTCGGACCGGCTGCCCGACCCAGCGGTCTCTGGCTCCCCGTCCCCACTGTGGGACTCTTCTATGGTCCTTTTTAGCGTCCTGCAGAAACCTCTAGCGAAACGCTATTAGGGACAGTGCCCGCCCGTACTCCTTGCGGCGCGATGCTGAAGGCATCCCACGAAACCGGCGCAACATGCGCTCGCCTTTATCACGGCTCCAGGTTTTTCATACGCAGGCCGACCAACGATGCCCCTGAAGACGGCGCCGCACAATGCTGGGTGCGCCGAAGTCCGAGGTATGTGCGCGGACAAGGGGGTGCCAGGGGGCGCATTGAAAGAAGAGGACGGGCCGTGAACCTGCGTGTAATTTGATATCCACAGCTCCTCTGGTCCCACCTCTCTCTTCACCGCCTCCAGCTTATACGTGTCCAATTTTTTTCCCATGCAAGCCGAAACAAAAAACATTGAAGCTGGCCACGACCCTGGCCCGGTCGGCAAGCCCGCGGGAGGACCGTCACCCACGCGGTGCCCCAGTGCCGGGGCTTGAGCCAGGGCGACCTGGGCCAAAGGCTACGGACCCTGTTCACACGTTCGTCATAAAACGTTATCCTCCTCCTCCTCCTCCTCCTCTCCTCCTCCTCCTCCTCAACATCATCATTCCCCTCTCACTCGTCCTCCTCGTCATCCTCCTCCTCTTCCCTTCTCCCTTCATCCCTCTTCCTTGTAGATAACTCCTTTCTGTCGCACCCCGGGGCGGGTCGGTAGGGCGGGCCGGGCGTTTCGCCTGAGATCGCCCTCAGTATTCATGATCCTGAAACTGGGAATTTGCAGCAATTTTACCGATGGAGGGCGGCCCGTTTTCAATATATGGCTCTTGCCTGCGCGACCCGCGCATTCGTCTTAAAACTTCAAAAGGTTTTCACGGATGGAGGGCGGGGCGTTCCCCAAATGTGGCTCTCGCCTTTGCGCCGCGCGCATTCGTCTTGAACATGTACAAGAATGCCCCGGAACGAGGGCGGGTCAGTTTCAAACTGTGGCTCTCGCCTTAGCGCCGCGCGCATTCGTCTGTAAAGTTTGCAAGAATGTCCAAGATGGAGGGCGGGTCGTTTTCAAACTGTGTCTCTCACCTTAGCACCGCAAGCATCCGTTTTTAACATTCGTTCTTAACTGTTTACAGCAGTTTCATCAAGGATCCTTATCGTTGACGTCCCAGGCATGGAGTTCTGGCGCAATTTAAGATCGTCTGGACGCGACAGCCACGTTAATTTGAGTTGTTGAAGTCCCAATAACGATGTTCTGGCACGAAATCACAAGAACGGTGCTTTAGTATGCTTGAAGATCTTCGAAAGAGCTTGTTCTGTCGATGCTGGCAGAAAACTGGGGTGGTCACTGGGGGTTCCACCCCCCCCCCTCTCCGCCCACCATGAAAGGGGGGGGTCACTACTGGATCGAACCCTGCCGCCCCCCCGCCCCCTCTTCGCCGCCGGCACACGATTCCCCCTCCTCCCCCACTCCAGATGGGGGACTGTGGTGGGACAGTGGCTGGGACGGTGGTGGGGATGGTGGTGGGCAGTGGAGACAATGGGGTAGTGGTGGGGACAGTGGCGATAGTTGTGAGAATGGGACCGTGGTGAGGACAGTGGTGGGGAGGGACAGTGGGGACGGTGCGACAGAGGTGGTGGTACTGGCGCGGACAGTAGTGACGGTGGTGAGACCAGTGGGACAGTGGTGGGGGCAGTGGAGACGGCATGAAAGTGATGAAGAAAGTGGTGGTGGGGGCAGTGGCGAGGGGACATTGGGACAGTGGTGGTGGGGACAGTGGCGAGGGGACAATGGGACAGTGGTGGGGACAGTGGGGACAGTGGGACAATGGTGGGGGCGGTGGTGGTGGGGACAATGGTGAAAGCGGTGGTGAGGACGGTGGTGGGACAATGGGACAGTGGTACAGTGGGGACAATGGAGGGGGCAGTGGGGACAGTTGGACAGTGGTGGGGACAGTGGGGACAGTGGGACAGCACAGTGGGACAGCGGTGAGAACAGTGGGACAGCGGTGGAAACAGTGGGGACAGTGGTGGGGACAGTGGGGACACTGTAGAGAGTGGGACCGTGGTGGGGATAGTGGTGTGGACAGTGGGGACAGTGCGACAGTGGGGGCACTGGTGGGGACAGTTGGGACGGTGGTGGGGGCAGTGGAGACAATGGTGTGACGGTGGTGGTGGGGACAGTGGCGAGGGGACAGTGGGACAGTGGTGGGGACAGTGCGGACAGTGGTGGGGACAGTGGCGGTGGGGACAGTGGTGAAGGCGGTGGTGAAGACGGTGGTGGAACAATGGGACAGTGGTACAGTGAGGACAGTGGGACAGCGGTGGGGACAGTGGGGACAGTGGGACAGCACAGGGGGCAGTGGTGGGGACGGTGGGGACAGTGGGACAGTGGTGGGGACAGTGGTGGCCACAGTGGGGACAGTGGGACGGTGGTGGGGACAGTGGTGAAAGCGGTGGTGGGGACAGTGGTGGGGACGGTGCGACACTGGTGGGGACCGTGGTGTGGACAGTGGAGACAGTGGTGGGAACAGCGGGGACAGGTGGGACAGTGGTGGGGACAGTGGGGACACTGTTGGGAACGGTTGTGGTGTGGACAGTGATGAAAGCGGTGGTGAGGACGGTGGTGGGGACCGTGGGAGTCGAATGCTGGCGGCGAATGGGAAAATTTGGGATTCGAACCCGTAGTGACCCCTCCCTTTCCCGAGCGGGGGGTTCGAACCGGTAGTGACCCCTACCGGTTTTCCAAGGGGGGAAAGGGTTGGCGGGGGGGGTTCTTGCCAGGGAAGGAGGGGGGGGTTCGAGCAGGGGGGGGATTTTCGGAGGGGGGGGCGGGGGGGACCTCCGGGTTTCGGAGGAAGAGGGGGAGAATTTTCCACAGCAAAGCGGCGATGGATCACGCTCTCTCAGGTCTTCAGACGGCTGTCTTCCAACGGAACACTTCCCGCAGTGAAGATACATCCTTGCATGCACCTGCGAAGAGAGAATTTGGAGGGAGAGTTTATTGCAACATCGTTGATGAGCCTTGGGTTTACACCTCCTCCTCCTCCTCCTCCTCCTCCTCGTCTTCTTCCTCCTCCCCCTCATCCACCTCCGCGACTTGAGCCAGAAACTACGGGCCCTACCTGCTCACACGTCCGTCATAAAATGTTGTCCATCCTGGCCAGAGCCTACTCAAGCTTGATTCCCAGACAATCCCCGAGGGCCAGCAGAAAGGGAGGAAAGGAGATGATAGGCTCATGTGGGAATCCTCCCGAACCCGACAAATGCGGTCAGCAAAAAAACGTCTCCTGGAGGCCCTCGCCGCTGGCGTAGAACATGTTCTCCGTGCCCCTGCGGGCCCAGTGGGACATGACCTGGTCGACGGGCCCCTGCTGACGTCTCTCCCCCATCCCCCCCCCCCGCAAGTGAGTTTGATGACAGAACAGCGTCCTGGCCTGCACCAAATGATCATGCGAACACAGCTCGAAACATGATCGACCCACGAACCCGGAAAGGAAGAGAGACATGTAAGGCATGGCAACGTTTCAAAGACACCTGATTGGGCGACGGGCAAACGAAATGCTGAATTTATCGATCTTGATGTACCGTGCCGAAGGTCAGGCTGTGCTGTGCAGCGCCGTGCTGAATTGCGATGTGCCATGCCGCGAGTGTGCTCTATAGCGTTGTGGATCGAGTCCTCCATTGCATCCGAGTCCTGACCGAACTGATCTGGATCTCAAGCTCAAGCTGCCTCAGCACATAGTAGCTGCCCCAGGGCGAACTGACAGGGGAACATGCCAGGAGGACGCGCCGCGGAACGTCCCAAGGGACGCGCCAGGCGACGTGGCAGGGGACGTACCACGGGGACGCACCGCGGGACGTGCCGAGGGGACGCGCTACAGAACGTGCCAATGGACGTGCCACGGGACGTGCCAGGGGACGCGCCGCGCGACGTGCCAGGGGGACTCGCCACGGGACGCGCCACGGAACGTGCCAGGTTGCAATACTGAGTGTATCGATCTTGATGTACCGTGCCGAGGGCTGTGCTGTGCTGCGCTGTGCTGAACTGCGATGTGCCATGCCGCGAATGTGCTCTATAGCGTTGTGGATCGAGTCCTCCTTTACATCCGAGTCCTGACCGAACTGATTTGCATCTTAAGCTCGAGCTGCCTCAGCACATAATTGCTGCCCCAGAGCTAATTGACAGGGGAACATGCCAGGAGTACGCGCCGCGGAACGTCCCAAGGGACGCGCCAGGCGACGTGCCAGGGGACGTGCCACAGGGACGCACCGCGGGACGTGCCGAGGGGACGCGCTACGGAACGTGCCAATGGACGTGCCACGGGACGCGCTCCCAAGGCCACGATCCCTCTCAAATTACACGTGGTCCGCGCTCCGAACGCCACGATCCCTCGTAGATTACGCCGCGTCCGCGCTCCCAGGGCCTCCTGGGGCATGCTGGGGCGCCCAGGTCCCTCAAGGTTTGCAAAACAAGCGTTTCGCTCGAGACATCCTCGATTTGTTTGTGCGCGGGGGGCGCACCATCCTCGAGCGGGCACGCAAAAACTCAACATTTTCACGCTCTAGCAGAACATGTTAGAACCCCCCTTGTGTGGCTGAGGAAATCCTGGAAAAACAACGACTTGGTCGAGACATCCTCGAAATTCCTGAGCGCGGGACGCGGCACGCGCGAGACATCCTCGGAATTCCTGCGCGCGGGACGCTTTTCCGCGTTGCGGTCGGGGCTCCAGGCCTAATTTTTGTTGAAGGTTCTGCTAAAAATGGCCCGCACCCTTTTTTACGAAGGAAGACGGTGGTCCGCGGACCCCATTGTTTGTCGAGGATCCCAAGTGGGGGATCGACTTTCCTCGAGCGGGCACGCGCGAAACGCATTTTTTCCACGCCGAATTTCTAGTTTTTTATCGAGCGGAAATCCGCCGGCCTCCTTCAAGTCAAAATCGGGGGTAAACCAACTAAAAGAGAACCCTGGGCCCCTGCCCTTTCAGTGAAAAAAAACAGCGAATTAGTCGAGACATCCTCGAAATTCCTGAGCGCGGGACGCGGCACGCGCGAGACATCCTCGGAATTCCTGCGCGCGGGACGCTTTTCCGCGTCGCGGTCGGGGCTCCAGACTTAGTTTTTGGTCGAAGATTCTGCTGAAAATGGCCCGCACCCTTTTTTTACAAAGGAAGACGGTGGTCCGTGGACCCTGTTATTTATCGAGGATCCAATGGGGAGCTCACTTTCCTCGAGCGGGCACGCGCGAAACGCATTTTTGTCACGCCGAATTGGACGTTACCTAGTTTTTTATCGAGCGGAAATCCGCCGGCCTCCTTCAAGTCAAAATCGGAGGTAAACCAATTAAAAAAGAACCCTGGGCCCCCGCCCTTTCCGGGAACATGATCGACCCACGAACCGGGAAAGGAATATACACATGTAAGGCGTCTCTCCCCCATCCCCCCCCGCAAGTGAGTTTGATGACAGAACAGCGTCCTGGCCTGCACCAAATGATCATGCGAACACAACTCGAAATATGATCGACCCACGAACCCGGAAAGGAATAGAGACATGTAAGGCATGGCAACGTTTCAAAGACACTTGATTGGGCGACGGGCAAACGCAATGATGAATGTTATCAATCTTGATGTACCGTGCCGAGGGCCAGGCTGTGCTGTGCAGCGCCGTGCGGAATTGCGATGTGCCATGCCGCGATTGTGCTCTATAGCGTTGTGGATCGAGTCCTCCATTGCATCCGAGTCCTGACCGAACTGATCTGTATCTCAAGCTCAAGCTGCCTCAGCACATAGTAGCTGCCTCAGAGCTAACTGACAGGGGAACATGCCAGGAGGACGCGCCGCGAAACGTGCCAAGGGACGCGCCAGGCGACGTGGCAGGGGACGTGCCACGGGGACGCACCGCGGGACGTGCCGAGGGGACGCGCTACGGAACGTGCCAATGGACGTGCGCCGCGCGACGTGCCAGGGGGACTCGCCACGGGACGCGCCACGGAACGTGCCAGGTTGCAATGCTGGGTTTATCGATCTTGATGTACCGTGCCGAGGGCCAGGCTGTGCTGCGCTGTGCTGAACTGCGATGTGCCATGCCGCGATTGTGCTCTACAGTGTTGTGGATCGAGTCCTCCATTGCATCCGAGTCCTGACCGAACTGATCTGGATCTCAAGCTCAAGCTGCCTCAGCACATAGTAGCTGCCCCAGGGCTAAGTGACAGGGGAACATGCCAGGAGGACGCGCCGCGGAACGTCCCAAGGGACGCGCCAGTCGACGTGCCAGGGGACGTGCCACGGGGACGCATCGCGGGACGTGCCGAGGGGACGCGCTACGGAACGTGCCAATGGAGGTGCCACGGGACGCGCTCCAAAGGCCACGATCCCTTGCAAATTACGCTGCGTCCGCGATCCCAGGGCCACGATCCCTGGTAAATCCCACCAGCCCTCTGGGCGTCGGTGGTCTAGGGAGTTTCCTCTTCCAACCCCCTTCTTCCTCTTCGGGGAGGGGTTTACCCCTCCCCCTACCCCCTCCCCTGGACCTCGACGGAGGGTTCCGCGGGTCGTTGGGGCGTCCAAGATGGCCCAAGACGGCTCCAAGAGGGCCTCAGGGAGCCCAAGATAGCCTCCAAGATGGCTCAAGATAGCGCAAGATGCCTCAAGATGGATCCCAAGATGCTCCAAGAGGCCTAAAGACCGCACCAAGACGGCCCCAAGTGGCCAAAGAGCTCCCCACGGAGCTCCCCGAGAGGCAAACATCATGCCAAAACCTTAGGACAATTAATATTTGTCCCGGAAAGGGTCACCAAACTTCGCGCGTGAGTGAAGCGTGTCTATCTTCGCGCCCTCGCGATGACAACTTGCAGAAGGGCAGTTCCCTGGCCCAGGCTGCGACGCGCGAAGCGCCATGATCTTCGTGCCCCTGGGGGTGACCTGCTGCAGGTTCGTGGCGTGCCAACTTTGGCGTTAATTTCTGACACCGCGGGGATCGTTCAACCTGCAACGGTCGGCCATTTCCGAAACGTCGGGTCGTTCAACATCGCCTGATTCTGGGTCGCCAGCGGCGTTCAACGTTGACGCCAGCGGCGAGGTCGCCGCAGATCGACGCGACGCGCACCCACTGTAGCGGCTCCTCCTTCCCCCTTCTCCTGTCATGGAGCCAATGTACTCGACACGGCGGCGGCGCTATGCGGCGCCAGGTTCCCGTGCGTGGTGCCAGATCCCCTTCCTGCAGGGCCCCGCCGTGGCAGCATAGCAGCTGCTATTGCTACTCTTCCTCCGCAGCTACTCAATGATACGACCAAGCGATTAAACAACACATTCGCCAAGTCAAATTCAAAGATAATTGCTTCTCGTCTGCGTCGCTGGCTGCGGCCTGACAACTTCGATGGCGACGGCGACGAAGAATCGGGAATATCAGTTTAAACGTCCACTTCCCAATTAATTAATGGGGCGCGGCGTTCCCCGGGGCATTTCTTAATCGTTTGGTCGATCCGAGCAGGGCCCATTTTCTCCCGCATGCATTTTTTCTCAATGAGGCTGTGCCCAGGGGCTCCTATTTGATTGTGAAGAAACCTATGGATGCCAGGCGCGGTCGTCGCCGGGTTCCTTTGGGTTCTTTGGTCTTGTTTCCTTGCGAAGGGGTCCTCGGGATTCCTTAGCTTTTATCCCGGAAAGGGTGTGGGCCTAAGGTTATCTTTTGGTAAGTTTATCCCCCCTGGAGAGGGCAGGCATATTTCCGCTCGGTAAAAAACAAAGTGAAGTCCAATTCGGCGTGGAAAAAATGCGTTTCGCGCGTGCCCGCTCGAGGAAAATCGACGCCCCACCTCGGATCCTCGATAAATGACGGGGTCCGCGGACCCCCGTGTCCCTTAGTGAAAAAGAAAATGCGGGGCACTTTTAGCAGAATCTTAAAAAGCAACGAAGTCTGGAGCCCTGACCGCGACGCGGAAAAGCGCCCCGCGCGCAGGAATTCCGAGGATGTCTCGCGCGTGCCGCGTCCCGCGCGCGGGAATTTCGAGGATGCCTCTACTACTTCGTTTGTTCCCTACCTAGGCTCTGCCTAGAAGGGTTCTTACTATTAGGCTTAAAGGGCCGGGCAGTGGAACCCGCCCCGGGCGGTTCCCCCGGCATCCGCCCCGCGGTTCCCCCAGTGACGTTCCCTTAGTTTCGCGTTGCTGATCTCATCTTAGCTTAGCTTATTTCATCTTACCTTAGCTTAGCTTCATCATACCTCAGTTTTGTCTTAGTCTAGCTTACCTTCATCTTAGCTTCGCTGAGCTTTATCATAGCATAGCAGAGCACAGCATAGCGTAGCATAGCATAGCGCAGCATCGCAGATCATAGCATGGGTATAATGTTCATCTTAG